CCCCCGCGGGGCGGGCCGCCGGCCCGCCAGCGGGCCGGCGCCGGCGCCGAGCGCGAAGAGGCACGCCAGGAGCGCGGCCGCGGCGGGGTCGCCCAGCGGCGCCGCGGGGAGAGCGGCCCGGGGCCTCCGCGTGCCGCGCATGCCGCCGAGGAGGTCCTCCTGCGACGACCCGACGTCGAGCTCCCTCTCCGAGGCCCCATCGAGCCCGAGTGACGAGCTCCACATCAGCATCTTGCTCTGCGTGCTCCCGCCGGGAGCGGGGCCCTGCGGTGGCGCCCGCGCCTCCAACATCTCGGGCGCCTCAGACCACCTGGTCTACTCCAGCGTGGCCGGCCCCTCCATCGCGGCCGGGGCGCGCGGAGCGCGAGCGGTCCTCCTACAGGGGGATCTTGGGAGCGCCCCCTGCTTTGCTGCGCAGCTTGAGCCCCACTTGAGCCTTGAGCCAACATTGCCACGCCTTACATTTCTATATTCCTTTCTGGGTTCGTGGGTCGATCATGTTCCGCCTCCGTCCGCGCCAGCCTACCATGCCAGAGCATTCCCCAGCCAGCCCACTAGATGGTATCATGGCCGGCTCGTTTCGGCGGGTTCGCTCCAGGACACCATTGGATCCCTTCTGGTGTGGCAGAGAGACTCCCCGGGCAGCTCGCGGACGATTGCCAATAGTATTGAAAAGATGCCAGCATCTTGATACCGAGGCGTCCGACGTGGCCTTGCTTCTTCGCGGAGTATGTTCCCGAACCTTCGACCTCATCTTCAGGACACGTTGTTCGTCACGGGTAGTTCTTGATGTCCCTTTTGTGCCGAAATCGACCCATTGAGGCGGAAGTCGTGGAAATACCACCCGTCGTGTTTCTGTTCCCGGAAAGGGCGTGCACCCAGGGTTCTCTTTTAGATGGTTTCCCTGTTCCTCGATGTGTGTGGGCCTGCGACTTGAATCTGCATAATAACAAGGTCGCGTAGGGCCAGCGAATTAAAACGTTGAGATTCTCCCAAGCGAAACGCTGTGTTCTGTTCCTCGAAATTCTGGTAGATAGAACACATGGTAAAGTACACATGTTCGTTTGTTGCGGATGTCTCGAGCGACAACGCTTGTTTTGCAGAATTTGTTGAGGATGTCTCGAGCGAAACATTTGTTTTGTGTTATAGATCGCCCCTCTCCTGCGAACTAGAACTCAGAGGATGTCTCAGGTGAAATGTTTGTTTTCACGTGTCCAGGTCTTGAGGATGTTTCGAGAGAGACGCGTACTTTCACGCGTGTAGGTCGCCCAGACAGATGTCTAACATGAAGGTTTGTTGAGGATGTCTCGAGAGAGACGCTGGCTTTCACGTGTCCAGGTTGTCCAGGCGGATGTCTAACACGCGAGGGTTTGTTCAGGATGTCTCAAGCGAGACGCTTGTTTTCACGTGTCCAGGTCGCCCAGGCGGATGATTAGCATGAGGATATGTTGAGAACGTCTCGAGCGAAACGCTTGTTTTCACGTGCCCAGGTCGCCCAGGCGGATGTCTAGCATGAAGATGTGTTGAAGGTGTCTCGAGCTAGACGCTTGCTTTCACGTGTCCAGGTCGCCCAGGCGGATGTCTAGCATGAGGATGTGTTGAGGATGTCTCGAGCGGCACGCTTGTTTTCACGTGCCCAGGTCGCCCAGTCGGATGTCTAAGTTGAAGATGGTTCGAGGATGTCTCTAGCGAACCGCTTGTTTTCACGTGTCCAGGTCGCCCAAGGGGAGGTCTAGCATGAGGATGTGTTGAGGATGTGTTGAGCTAGACGCTTGTTTCCTTTATCCATGTCGCCCAGGCAGATGTCTAACATGACGTTTTGCGCAGGATGTCTCGAGCGAAACGCTTGTGGTCACGTTCCCAGGTCGCCCAGGCAGATGTCTAACATGAAGATGTGTTGAGGATGTTTCGAGAGAGACGCTTGTTTTCACGTGCCCAGGTCGCCCAGGCGGATGTCTAACATGACGATAGTTTGAGGATGTCTCAAGCGAGACGCTTGTTTTCACGCGTCCAGGTCGCCCAGGCAGATGCCTAGCATGAGGATGTGTTGAGACCGTCTCGAGCGAGACGTTTGCTTTCACGTGTCCAGGTCGCCCAGGCGGATGTCCAACATGAAGATCTGTTGAGGATGCCTCGAGCAAAACGCTTGTCACAGCAGAGCGCGTTGCAGTCCAACCCCACTCGTCAGTGGGGCGTCCTCTGGCGCGCTGGCGCGTCCCCTGGCCCGTCCCTTGCGAGGTTCTGGCGTGACGTGCCATGGCACGTCCCCTATCACGCCACTCAGCGTGGCACGTTCCCTGGCTCGTCCTCTGTCGCGTTTCCTGGCTCGTCCGCAGGCGTTTCCCCTGCCCGTTCCGTGGCGCGCCCCTTGCAATTTCCTTTGGCATGGCGTCCTCTGGCTGACCCATGGCGCGCGCTTTGGCACCTCCCATGGCAGGTCCCTGACACGTCCAGGGCATGTCCTCTGATACGTCCCCTGACACGTCTCCTGGCGCATCCCCTATTGCGCCGCTGGCACATCCTAGGCGCGTCCGTGAGCCTCTGCCCCCTGTCGTGTCGTTCCTTTTCGGAGCTGAGTCGGATTTTGAGGTCGAATTGATTGAACGTCCTCCACGTTTCACTTCAATTAGCTCTGGGGCAGCTACTATGTGCTCAGGCAGCTCGAGCTCAAGATCCAGATCAATTTTGTCAGGACTGGAATGCCAAGGAGGACTCGATCCACAACGCTGTAGAGCGCAATCGCGGCATGGCACATCGCAATTCAGCACGGCGCTGCACAGCACAGCTCTTGGCACGGTACATCAAAATCGATTCATTCAGCATTACAATTGCCCGACGCCCAATCTGGTGTCTTTGAAAACGTTGCCATGCCTCACAATTCTATATTTTTTCCGTGTTCGTGGGTCGATCATGTTCGCGACGATTGGAGGTCAGGATAGATTATATTGCCCTTGAACCCTCAGCTGCCATCTCTCAACGCACATGGCGAGCAGCGAAGGCCAGAGCCCTGGGGCCGATGCCCTCGACTGTACATCCGCAGCCACTTTGTTTGGCCCAAAGCGAGAGACGGGTTCAGTCTCACGGGCCCTGGTCCGATGGCCACTTCCACAGCCGCGCCGGTGCGCAAGAGCCTGGCACCGCTGGTCGTCGGCGAGCGTGTCCTGGTGGGGAGCCTCAAATTCAAGGGTGTCCTCAAATTCGCAGGGGAGACGGACTTCGCAGTTGGGGAGTGGATGGGCATAGAGCTCGACAACCCCAGCGGCAAGAACGACGGATCGGTCAAGGGGGTCTCGTACTTCACCTGCAAGCCCAACCACGGGCTGTTCGTGCGAAGGTCGGCGCTCGTCAGAGACGATGCGCCCGGCAAGGCGACCAGCTCCCCGAGGAGAGCGACGCTGTCCTCGCATGGCACGGCAGACGCCAGAAGCATCCGAAGGAGGTCCGATGCGGGCAGCAGGGCAGCAGGCTCGCCGAGGCTCTCGGAGGCCGCGGCAGGCTTTCTGCTGTCGAGGCACACAGGCGGGACGCTGCAGAAGCAGGCGGCGAAGACCCCACAGGCTGCGGCGGCCGTGCCGAGGGCGGCGCAGTCCAAAGGGCAGCCGGAGTCATCGCAGCCTTGCGACGAGAGCGACGAGGAGGCAGCCATCAGCAAGCGCCTCTCCACTGTGCACCGGGATGACCACAGTGGGAGCGCCGCGGCCAACGTCGCGCCGCGGCCCTCGAGGCTCGCGGCACTCGAAGACTCAGACGGGGCCGAGAGGTTGGCAGCACAGCAGGAGTTGGCTATGGCTGCCGAGGAGCACGACGCCGCCGCCATCAAGGCGGCGCTGCAACGTGCGCAGACTGCGGGGGTGGACAAGGCGGAGATCGCCAGCGCACAAAGAGTTCTCAGCTACGAGATGCAGAGCTGGCTCACTCATGAGGTCGAGGGCATCTGCAGCACGATGGCGCGGCTAAAGCAGACCGTCGACGCCGTAGAGGCGAGGGCCGACACTGCGGACAGTCGACTGGCAGCCATCTTGGCCAGAGGCCTCTCACCCAGGTCGCCTGCTGTCACCAGACTGGCGCCTGGCGAAAACCCAGAGGGCGATGGCGAGGACACCTGGCTTTCTTCGCTGGGGCAGCAGCTGGAGATGCGCGTGTGGGAAGGCCTGGAGTGCCGCGTGGAAGCCGCCATCCAGGGCGCGGTGGCGCGCGCCACCCAGGAGTTATTGGCCGCGGCCACGGAGGTCGGTCGGCTGCGCGGGCAGGCTGGTCCAGCCGTCCGGCAGCCTCTGGAGGAGCTGGCACCAGCAGGCATTGAGGAAGGGGCCGCTTCCCAGGCCGCTCGGCGGAGCGAGTCCACTTCAAATGTGCGGCCCAGCCCAGACGCCGTTCGTGCGACCATCTCGCGGGTGCTGCGCGGCAGCGTGGCGAGGGTGCAGGCGCAGGAAGCGGCCGTCTCATGGGCCGCCCCGCGGAGCGAGGGCGCATCCGATGCGCAGCCTAGCCCGGATGCGGTTCTGTTGCGCGGCAGTGTAGCGCGGGTGCAGGCGGAGGAAGCGGCCGCCTCCCGAGCAGCGCCGCGGAACGGTTCTTCGTCCGATGAGCGGCCCAGCCCAGATGCCGTGCGTGCAACCATCTCGCGTGCGCTGCGCGGCAGCGTGGTGAGCGTGCAGGCGCAGGAAGATGTGCGGCCCAGCCCAGAGGCCGTTCGCGCAACCATCTCGCGGGCGCTGCGCGGCAGCGTGGCGAGAGTGCAGGCGCAGGCAGATGCACAGCCCAGCCCAGAGGCCGTTCGCGCAACAATCTCGCGGGTGCTGCGCGGCAGCGTGGCGAGAGTGCAGGCGCAGGACGATGCAAGGGCCAGCCCAGATGCCGTTCGCGCAACCATCTCGCGGGCGCTGCGCGGCAGCGTAGCGAGAGTGCAGGCGCAGGAAGATGCACGGCCCAGCCCAGATGCCGTGCGTGCAACCATCTCGCGGGCGCTCCGCGGCAGCGTGGCGAGAGTGCAGGCGCAGGCAAATGCGCGGCCCAGCTCAGACGCCGTGCGTGCAACCATCTCGCGGGTGCTGCGCGGCAGCGTGGCGAGAATGCAGGCGCAGGAAGATGCACGGCCCAGCCCAGAGGCCGTTCGCGCAGTCATCTCGCGGGCGCTGCGCGGCAGCGTGGCGAGGGTGCAGGCGCAGGAAGATGCGCGGCCCAGCCCTGACGCCGTGCGTGCAACCATCTCGCGGGTGCTGCGCGGCAGCGTGGCGAGAATGCAGGCGCAGGCAGATGCGCGGCCCAGCCCAGAGGCCGTTCGCGCAGTCATCTCGCTGGCGGTGCACGGCAGCGTGGCGAGAGTGCAGGCGCAGGAAGATGCACGGCCCAGCCCAGACGCCGTTCGCGCAACCATCTCTCGGGCGCTCCGCGGCAGCGTGGCGAGAGTGCAGGCACAGGACACAGCGTCTCAGAATCGGAAGTCCGCCGTGACCATGAGCAGAACCTTCTCACAACTATTCAGCGGCTCTGCCTCGCGTATCCGCAATGGGACGGGGATATGAGGCCACACGATTTTGCTTGTTTGGTTCGCGTGTTTGGTTAGTTTGCTTTGTTGTTCCCCGAAAGTGCGCGGGCCTAGGCTTTTGTTTCAAAGGATTAACCCCTGGCAATCTTGGGCAAGGGCCGGCGAAACCACTTGCGATAAAAACGATGTAAAGCCCTCTTTCGTTTTTCCCAGAAAGGGCGCCGGCTCAGGGTTTTCTTTTAGAAGTTTGCCCACAAAGGGCGCTGGCCCAGGGTTTTCTTTTTGAGATTTTACCCCAGGGACGATTTGAGACGGGCCGGCGAAATTATTCTCTTTTGTTTATAGCGAGGTCGAGACGGGCGGGCGGATTAAGATGTGAGGATGTCCCGGGCGAAACGTTGGTTTTTGACATTCCGAATAAAAAAAAACACAAGGTAAATTAAACAGTTTCGTTTGCTGCGGTTGCCTCGAACGAAACACTTGTGTTGTATAATTTGTTGAGGATGTCTCGAGCGAAACGTTTGTTTTGTATTATGGATGTCTCAGGTGAAATGCTTGTTTTCACGTGCCCAGGTCTTGAGGATGTCTCGAGCGAGACGCTTCGAGGATGTCTCGAGCGACACGCTCGTTTTGCAGAACTCGAGCGGCCTGGGCGCCCCAGGATGCCCAGGTGGTTCTGGGAGCCCGAACGCAGCGCAATTTTCTAAGGAACGTGGCCCTGGCACGTTTCGTGGCGCGTCCCGTGGCGAGTCCCCTTGGCACGTCGCGCGGCGCGTCCCCTAGCACGTCCCGTGGCACGTCCATTGGCACGTTCCGTAGCGCGTCCCCTTGGTACGTCCCGCGGTACGTCGCCATGGCACGTCCTTGGCACGTCCCCTGGCGCGTCCCTTGGGACGTTCCGCGGCGCGTCCTCCTGGCGTGTCCCCCTGTCAATTAGCTCTGGGGCAGCTATTATGTGCTCAGGCAGCTCGAGCTTAAGATCCAGATCTGTTCGGTCAGGACTCGGATGCAAAGGAGGACTCGATCCACAACGCTATAGAGCACAATCGCGGCATGGCACATCGCAATTCATCACGGCGTTTCACAGCACAGCTCTCGGCACGTTACACCAAGATCGATACATTCAGTATTGCATTTACCCGTCGCCCAGTCAGGTGTCTTTGAACACGCTGCTATGCTTTACATGTTTATATTCCGTTCCGGGTTCGTGGGTCGATCATGTACCCTTGGGGACGACTTGAGACGGGCCGGCGAAATTATTGTTTGATATTTCCTGCGGTAAATATCAAGGTCGAGACGGGCTGGCGAATTACAATTTGAGGATGTCCCGAGCGAAACGCTGGTTCTTGACATTCCGATTGATAAAACACAGGGTACAATAAGCATGTTAGTTTGTTCTTGTTGTTCGAACGAAACGTTTGTTTCGTATATTTGTTGAGGATGTCTCGAGCGAAACGTTTGTTTTGTACTATAGATCGTTCCCCTCCTGGGGACCAGAAGTCAGAGGATGTCTCAGGTGAAATGCTTGTTTTCACGTGCCCAGGTCTTGAGGATGTCTCGAGCGAGACGCCTCGAGGATGTCTCGAGCGACACGCTTGTTTTGCAGAACTCGAGCGGCCTGGGCACCCCAGGATGCCCAGGTGGCTCTGGGAGCCCGAACGCACCGTAATTTACTCAGGAACGTGGCCCTGGGAGCGCGGACGCAGCGTAATTTACGAGGGAGCGCAGCCCTGGGAGCGTGGATGCAGCGTATACGAGGGTTCGCCCGCCCGACCTGTCTGGCCTGTCGCGTGCTTGGAAGCCCGCCCGCCCGCTTTGATGTCCCGCCCGTCCGACACGCCCGGTAGCGTCCGCCCGCCCGATCCGCCCTCTAGGGCCGGCCCGCCCGTCACGTCCGCATGCCATTATTATTGTTCTCTCCACCCTTCTTCTGCTGAATCTTCTTCGCCCTCAATCCTGCGCCTTCCCTTTTGCCCTCCTCCCTTCTCGTCACCTTCTCCTTTCCTTGGTCTCTGCCTTTTCGCGTTCCCTCATCATTCTTCTATTTTTGATGGGCGCAGCAACTACGCGCGGCAGGCAAGGACAAATCCCCAATGGGGATACGATCGAAGACGAAGAGGGCGGGTAATGAGGGGTTGGGGTATACGCGATGATGAGTGGCACACGAGCAATTAAGCGCGAACAGCCTTAGCATGATTGCTGCTTGTGTTGCTTGCTTGGGGGTGAGGGCCACGACTGAAGGACTTTAGCAACCAGTGGCCGCATGTCCCTCCTCTAGGTGATTATGCGGTGGCGGTCCAGGGGCAGTGGGACGAAAAGCAAGGGGTCCGACACACTTTGACCGCAGCACCTCGCGGTAGCGGATTTCTCGAGTCAGCGGGCAGGAATGATCCGCAAGTTGCCAGGGACCACAACGTGGCCGCCACGGAGATCTGGAAACAGAGCGATGGGCACGAGGACCGCCAAGAGGTGTCGCAGGGTCCTCCCAGCCGCGGCGCCGCTCAACCAGCCAGGGTGCCCAGTGGCGCGCTTGACGCGGCCGCGATCTGGGAGCGCGCCCAGGAGATTTCCGAGAGGGTTCTGGGCCAGGCCTGCAGCCGCCGGGTGGAGGCCGTGATGGCGAGGGCGGCGGCGCTGCAGCAGCTGGAAGGCGCCTCGAGGATAATCCAGGCGCGGTATCGTGGAGCGCGCGGCCGCAGGGAGGCTGCGCTGAGGACGCAGGGGGTGCAGAAGTTGCAGCAGGCTTTCAGGCGCATGCAGGTCAAGGAGAAGATTGGCCAGGGCGCCGACTTTTATAGGGTTGCGCTGCTGCTGCGAAGGAGGAGCCGGGCGTTCGTCGACACTTTCATGGAGAGGGCCAGACTAGTTGGCAAGGATGCAGGGCAGGGCCTCAACAGGGATGAGTTTTTGACTGCGATCGTGGATGTGCACGTTGCGACGCTGAGCAAGGCCCAGGCGGAGGCCCTGTGGCGCGGCTTTGAGGAGGGCACCGGCACAAGCAGCATGGGCCTCAAGGTCTTCTGCAACATCTGTGAGGCTGTGGCCAGCAGAGACTCGGAGGCGGCCGAATATGCCGACGTCGACCTGGTGAAGTGGGTGGCTTTGCGCAACGTCCCTTGCGAGCAGCCCTCGTCCAGAACGTTGCCACCAGTGGTGCCAGATAGTGACGGCTTTCCCACGGGCTCGCAGAGCGCGGCCTCACATCTTGGGGACAAGTGGGCAAATCATTTCAGGCACTGCATGAGTGAGGACACTTTCGTTACCATCATGAGAGGTGTGAGACCTGCGCCATCGAAGGCGCAGATAAAGGCCATATGGGACGCCTACCGTGCCAGAAGTCACACACCCGATGCCTCCCCTAATTTGGAGGACTTCTCCCTGATGGCAGAGGCAATCGTGACCGACGCTCATGCTGCAGCGGAGTTCGCGGAGATGCCGGTGGAGCGCTACCTCATGCTCGGGGCGGATGGCGGAGAGGCCGCCGCTGCCGAGATCCAGGCCGTTTTCCGAGGAAACAGTGCGAGGAAGGCCCTCAGACAAACAATTGGAGATCGTGATCCGTATCGAATGCAATTCTTCGGGAACGCACAAACATGGTTTGCTTGTTCATGCAATGCGATATTCTCGTTCGGATGAGAATATAGGTATTAGATATGCAATATAACAGATCGCTTGGCTAAAGGCATTCGGGCAAACATGTTTCACAAGCATATACATGCATGGATGCGTGCGGGAGTGCGCACGAATCAAAGCACTCGCGTACACACATGCAGACTCTCTCATGGATGCTGGATTTCTTCGGCTTGCGCGCGTGAATGCATATACGCGTATATACATGGACATGGTGTTGGGCAGGATACGAGAGATCTTCGCACGGGTGCGGGTAAGCCCCGCGCTGTAAACCCATCCGTGAGGAAGGCTATCAGCTGATAATACGATGATGCAGACAGGGGAGAGTGGAGAGGAGCGAAAACAGAACAGGTAGTACAACGCAGAAGGCAGAGCGTACAGAGTAGAGAGTGGAGGGTCGAGAGCGAGGATAGCCGCATTGGCCATCTCATGTTTTACGCGCTGGTGTCTGTGTAGGGACAGTCTGCGCGCTGGTGTCTGCGCGGTGCTGCTTCCAATCCGTCGGTTACGTCCGCTTCGGTTCCCGTGGGGTTCCCAAACCGCGCTTCCACGATTGCAGTCGAGTTGCCAGGAGGGGACAGCACGAGTCGTATGGCCCCTTTCCATGGGCGCGTCCATGGGGCGGCCGTCGATGGCCTGTTGCGCGCGGGATTCGGCGGACGTTTGCGACAACATTCGGCAAACATTTTAGGCAACATTCGGAGGGATTTCGGGGCAGGTTCGGGCTGACGATTCTGATGTGAGGATGATGTGCTGTGATGTGCTGCGCCCTCCTCCTCGACACCCTTGGCCTCATGTTTCCCTCCATCATCATCCTCCCTGCTCTTCCTCCTCCAATCCCCCCTCCCGCTCTTGATGTGTGCTCCTCGGGCATTTGCAGTTCTTGGTTTGGTGGGGGAGCTTCCGACCACATGGCGGGGATTGTTCTTTTTGCCGTGGTCCCTTTCTCTGATGGCCCTGGGCCCAGCCCTTGTCCCTCCGCTTCTCTGGATGTTGGCCTTTCGCCTGGAGGCCAGGTCCGAACGCTGCCGGCGTCGAGACAACGCGCAGCTGCCCAGATCGCGCGGGCGCGCCCGGCGCCAGCGAGGAGAGCGCGTGGAGCATGGACTGGTCCGCGGACTGCGCGAGACGGTCAATGTCGCCCCTCAGGCGCGGGCTTCCTTTCCCCCTCCTGCCCGTCCTCCGAGGGAGAAGCCTCCGCCACCAAGACTTACAGGCCCCCTTCGGGCCAGATCTTGTTGCATACGGCATCCGTCCACGGAGAGGTGCGAGGGGGTCTGTTAGTCATCGTTTCGCTCATTCCGCCGGTCCGTGTGACGGAAAGAGCGAGGCACGAGTGATGTGCGTTATTTGGTGGGGCGAAGCCCTTCAGGGATGGGTTCCAGGGGAGGGGCGAGGCGCGCGAACCCGGGCTCTAATGGCCTTTTGGGGTCCCCGAGGCGCCCAAGACGGCCTAAGAAGCGCCCACGACGGGCCAGGACATCCCCACGCCCCAGGACGGCCCGAGAGCACTCCAAGACAGTTTAAACTGGCTCCAAGACGGTCCACGAGGCCCCCAGGACACCCTAAGATGGCTCCAAGACGGTCCAAGAGGGCCCCAAGAGGACCCCACAGAGGCTAAAATCGATACATCCCCATGACCGCTTTTGTGTTGTTACGCGGTCCAAGACAAGTCAAGAGGCCCCGCGGCCCCCAAGAGGCCCCATGACGGTCTTAGAGGGCCCCAAAAGGGCTCCCAAACGACCCGAGAGAGCCCCAAGACGGCCCCAAGAGAGCTCCAAGAGGCCCCTAAGAGGCTCCCGAGAGGGCCCGAAGAGGCCGCCAAGAGAGCCCCAAGACTGTCCAATGCCTCGAAGACGCCCAGAGACGGCCTCAAAGGGCCCCAAGACGGCCCAAAGGGCCGTCCAAAAGGAGCCCAGAAGGGCCCCCAAAGGCCCCCCAAGAAGGCCCAGAGACGCCAAATAAAAGAGCGATCGGTAACGCAAAAAGCTCTTCACACCAAGGCTCCCAACCATGGGTGGTACATCCAAATCGTGGTGAGAGATTGTTCGATGACAAGGTTGGTCGAAGAAAGTATTGGCCACCGTGAGGTCGCAAGCAACACAAGCTTCAATAAGAAGATTCCCGTTCGAGTGCGATTTGTTGTTGTTGTTTGTATGCGTAGTGTTGTACACGTGCGGGCCGACGATGTCTTCTTCGTCAGCCTTCACTCGGCAAAGTCTCGCATGGAAATCCCAAGGAATGTACGTTGTGGAGTGCCTGGTGGTGGGGCGAACCACGTCTTGGAGTTTATGGAAAATCGTTGCCTCAACTCGAAGTCGATGCCGCTCTGGGGGGCGTACACAGACAGTAAAGTAAGCATGCCGCCACATACTTTCAATCGCAGCGTGCAGATTCGATCCCCACACGCCTTGAAGGCGACCACTGCGGAGCGAACGCGGGGCGATACAATGAAACCAACAGCCGCATATGACATTTTGTCTTGGTCTGCACTGTCAGACAAGAAAATTGAGAAACATCGTTGCGTATAGTATTCGGCACCGTTCAAGTGTGTCTCCTGGATACAGAATGCATCGATGCCTTTCTCGCCCATGGTCTTCAACAACTCGTCGACCTTTCCAGCCGAATCGCCGCGGAAACCTTGGACGTTCCAGGTTCGTACGCGCTGCAAATTGCATGGCCGGATTTCGCGCCTCGATCTTCCCCAGGAAGATTCGTAGGCTCGAACATGAAGTTCTGTTGGATCATGTGGTCCACCAGTGTGATTGTAGCTATGTCTGTCTGGTATGGTTTCGCTATTTCTCGGTTGGTCGGATTGCACTCGGTCTCCACAAAAATCTGGGTCTCCACCTCCAGGCTCGGACGGTATACAATCTGGATGTCTTCGAGGATTTGTGGATGCAGTGCCGTGCGGCCCTCCTCGAAAGCCAGGACCCCCACAGCCAATGGGAGAAGATGACGTGCATGGGTATGTACATGTCGTCAGCGATGCTGCTGATTGAATTCGTAATCGATTTGGGCTTATAGTGGCAGTAGAGCCGACTGCCAATGGTGAGACACTTCTGGAGGCTATTCGCTGGGGCGCCTCCCGGCACCCTTCTGCCTTCCCTTGACGGCGCTCCGTCCTTTCATGCCCATCGACGCCCGATCCAACAGTTCACGCGATTGCACGTTCAGCTCCTTGTTGCATGAGTTGTTGTGCAACGCGTCCCACGTAGCCCAGGCCCCCACCCACTCGTACTCGACATTGCAACCCTCAACCTTAGCTGTGAGTGCGTGCTCACCTCCGACGGTCACGATGTAGTGGGAATCGTTGGGCGGGTCGCCGTCGACAGACGCGGTACGGTGTGTGCCATTCATTGTTCAACAACCGTTTGAGGCCGAGGCAAAAATTACGAGCTGCCCAGTCTTGTGGGAAGCGGTCTTCGGTAGCCCACACGTTTTTCCCCCCCGCTTCTGAGGCTGGAACGTTGGAGGAGATCATTTGCGAGGCCTCGAAAGGATGTATTCTGGAACTCTGCAAACAGGATCCCCCTGAAGTCCCCTTTGGCGTAGATGTTCTCTGGCATACGCCCTGCCATATCGGCGAGCTCCTCCTTCAAGCATGTTGCGGCCTTCTCGAGATCATGCAACGCCTCAAATTCTCAATCACCATGCTCAAGGCACGCTTGTCCACGACTTCGGGAGAAGCGTGCACCTCGTCGCCAGCCTTTTTCCCCTCCTCCTTCACCATGAAGGAAGCCTTGGATGTACTCGCGGATCTTGGCTCCCACGGAGTCCACTCCACGGTTGGGAACGCCTTCTGCTGAATGAACGTGCAGATGGTCTCGAGCTTGTCGATCCGCACGTCGGTCATGTTCAGGCGTTGTGTCCAGGCGCACGTTCAGCTTGGAGAAGTCGCTGCGGAGCCCATCCACCGCCCTGGTCATGGGGCCCAGCTGCTCCTTCAGAAGAGTCGCGATGCCCTGCATGGTGACGTGCTCCCCCTGGGGCGGGTCCTGGATGAGCTCCTCCTCGTCATCTTTCTCCTCCACTTCCCCATCGTCTGCAGCCATGCGAACGTATCCTGCATTGCCCTCCTTCTCGTGCTACTCGGTCACGTCCCCGAGCAATGGGGCGAAGGGGGAGTTTGGACCATGCCCAGTGGGTGCCGGTTTCTGCTCCTTCATCCTCTCCCTAGGGTTGGTTAGAACATTTTTGACGGGGGGCCGCCATACGCGTATGCTTCAAGGTAGGCGAGACGCCATCATTTGTTCCAACTCTGCTTCCAAATTGAGAGGGACGCGAGCAGCCATGATGTACGTGAGATGTGGCGTTGAGAACAAGAGGGATTGCAAGAGGGAGATATTGCAAGAGGGATCTTGTGAGAGGGCGCTGTCTCTGGAGCCAGGAAATCATACAGCGTCGGAGGTTCGAAAAGTGGAGATTGAAACACCCAAGGAAAATCAATGACTTGAGCCTCTCGGGGCCCTCTTGGGAAGGCTCTTAAAGGTCTCTTGAGACGTCTTGGGCGATTTTTCGGCCTGTTGGAGGTCATCTTGCGCGTCTTGGACCGATCGTTCAGCGTTTCGGGGTCCTCTTGCATCGTCTTGGGGGCCTCTTGGGGTCCAGAAGACTGCCCAGGGGAGTTCTAGCATCCTTGAGCCCACCTTGCCGGGGTACCTTCCGTCCGGGAGCTCTTTGGCGCTGCCCTGCGCGCGCGCGAACTAGAAGTGTTCAGTAAGCCTCTTACCGGACATCTTCGCACGCCTCTGGCCCGTTTGGCCGGCGAATTCGCAGCAGAGTGTGGCGGTCAGGTTGCCCCTTAGGAGGAGGACGGAGGCGGGAGGACTGCGGATTCTTCCCTCTCTTCGATTGAGGCCACCTTCGAGGACAGGCGGTTGACGATAGGAGAGGAAGAGGAGGAGGAGGAGGAAGAGGAGGAGGAGGAGGAGGATCACCTGGGACGACGAGGAGGAGGAGGAACGTGACCGAGGAGGATGAGGAGGATGGCTGGTCGGAGAAAACCTCGGTTGCACCAACGTAGTCCACGTCCCAAGTGCCTTGCTCATCAGGTCCGACGGGCTTTTCCTGCACACCACAGGAAGCACCCCCTCGAAAGACGAGCGCCCCATGGGCCTGCCCTTCAGGCGAGAGCCCCGTCCTGCACCCGTGCGGCCAGGTGGACTGCAGGGAGGTCGAGGAGGTGTCCCACGAGAGTCCCGTCCGGGGAAAACGACCCGCTCGCCGTCGTTGCAGGGTGCGGCAGGCACACGGGCCCGCACGGAGGGCAGGACGTGTCGAGGATATCCCAAGCGAGAGTCCCGTTTTGACCGAAAGTTGCCATCCCGACAATGATCGCGCAATTTCTAGCAAGGTTCGTCTCCAGCGAGAGGTCCATTCTGAAAAGGAACCTCCCTTCATCCTTGCAGCTGCCAGGGACTTTTGAGACGACTGTGCGCGGCGCTAAGGCGAGAACCACGTACCGTATCGAAAAAACGGGCCGCCCTCCATCTTTGTAGCTATTTGGGGCTTCACGCTTCATTATCACAAGCTGTGAGCAAGTCTCATGCGAAATGCTCTTCCCGCCCTGCCGACATGCCTGGTAGTGTGACGCGGGGGGAGTGGTTCATAAAGAAGAGGGATGGAGCAGAAGGAAGACGAGGCCCTCCTTCGTCAGCCCCTCCGCTCCTACGACTGGGAAGTAAGGGCAACGGACGGGGCTGGACCTACATGTCGGTGGCTGAAGGAGAACACGGAGGAGATGGGAAGGGAAACGGAAGAGGGGGATCGCAGGGGAGGGACGAATAGTGAGGGACGGGGAAGGGAAAGGTTTCCGAAAGCCTTTGGGCATTTTTCCTGTGACTTCCGGGAACCTCCAGAGATGATGGAATGGAGGTGATGGTGAAATCGGAAGCCAGTCAACCTCAGGATGCACACGACTCGCTCCATAGATTCCCAGGGCAGTCTGGAGTACTTTGGATCAGCCGAGGCGCCCCATGCATCCTGGATTTCGCCAGCTCTCGGGGATCCCAACTCTGTCGCCCTGGGTGTAGGGAACCGGAGGAAGAGAGAGGGTGCTCCCAGTGGAGCCCGCGTGCGCGCCAGTTGCACGGTTGCCTGCGGTTTCACCGAGTCGATTGTGCGCAATTTTGCTTGCGCGCGGCATCGATTGATCCAGTTAGGCGTGCGAAGGGCGGCTCCTCTCCTCCCCCGTCCTGGTATCTTCCTCAGCCCATCCCCCTCCGTCCTTTTCGTCCTCATCGACATCCCCTGGCGTATGGCAATCATGGATGAATGATTTGTGGTCTCACTGGAAGTACACTTTGCGACAGCACTTTATTCGAGTCCGTAGTCGGGAATATGATTAGTGGGCACGCACCTTAGCTCTGACCTTCAACATCCCGTTGCGTCCCCCTAACTGCCTTGCAGTCGGCCTTCGTGGACAGCCGTTCCTTCCAAGATTCATGTTTATTGGCTCGATCGAACAGGCGATGTCCATGGACCGATCGTTCGCTCTCGCGACCGTTCGAGCGCACGTTGCCAGCCCCGGCAGCCGCGCTGGCCCCCCCCCCCCTCGCGCCCACGAAGCGCGTGCACGCGCCGGTGGCGACGACGAGGCGCCCCAGGTGCGCCCTGGTGTGCGGTCCGTGCGGCAAGATCCGGGACCTGCCGCGGCTCGTCGAGCGGCTCACGAGGCAGCTCGTGCCCTTGGGCGGGCAGGAGCCGGCAGCCTGGCGCCCGCGCACGCCGGGGCTCGCGAGGCGGAGGAGGCGGAGTCCGAAAGTAGGCAGAGGCGGAGGCGGCCGAGTGGGGGAGGGGGCAGGAGGGAGGCGGAGGAGAAGGGAGGAGGCGGCACAGGGAGGTGGAGATACGGAGGAGAAGGGTGCGGAGGAGGAGGAGGAGGGTGCGGAGGAGGAGGAGGAGGAGGAGGAGGAGGAGGAGGAGGAGGAGGAGGAGGAGGAGGAGGAGGAGGAGGAGGAGGGATGGAGGAGGGATGGCGGATCGCTCCGAGCGTGCTGGCTCGCTCCTGGCGCGCATCGTGCTGCCAGCGTTTTTGGCAGGAAGCCCATTCCGAGCTCAGTGCGGTGTTGGTAGGAAGCTCACTCCGAGCGTACTGTTTTGCTGCTGGCGCACATCATGTTTCCAGTGATATTGTCAAGAAGCTTACTTCGAGCGTAGCAGCTCCCTTCTGGCGCACACCCCGTTGCTGTCGACAGGCACCTCCGAGAGTGCTGGTTCGTTTCCAGTGGATGCAGTGCACACCGCATTGCCAGCTTTTTCGGCAGCAAGCTCACTCCGAGCAGGACTGTTTCGAATTATGCCATGTTCAGTGGCGATGTCCACGCGATGTATCACCTTGAATCATAGCTGACTATTCGTGCTAGTGAGTGAGTTTTGCTCCTCCCCTCTCCCATCATCCCCGTGCTACTCCATTCCCATTCTCTTCCTTCTCCCGTTCTCCCTCCAAGTTTCCCGCTCCCACTTTCTACCCACCTGCTCTTCTCCGTCTCCCCCTCCCTCCTGCCCCCCCCCTTCTCCTCCCCCCCCTTCTCCAACCTCTTCACCCTCATCCGTCCCCTCTTCGTCCCCCCCATCCCTCCTGCAACCCTCCTCGCCCCCTCCCCATCTGCCCCCTCCCCTCCCTCCCCTTCTTTCCCCTCAACTCCGCCCCTCGCCTTCCTCCCGCAACACGCGCGCGCAGCACTGGCGGCCACGCCCCCCCCCCCGGGAGAGCCTCCCGCACCCCTGCGCGGTCCCTGCCCCCCCTCCCCCCGTCCCCGGCGCCTACCCCCTCCCCGCGGGCCCACCGGCAGGAGGGCGCTGCGGCGCAGGCGGGCACCGTGGGAGTCCAAGCTCGCGCCGCGCAGATCTCCAACGCATGGAACACATCGAAACGTAACTTGTTCGTAGCTTTCCGCGTCTGGGGGCCGTTTTCGGGCTCCGGGACCGTCCAACAACGATCCTGGACGAAAAATGCTCGCGGACCCCGCATTGACGTCGGAGGACCGGGCGCGCCCGCACCCCCTGGACCCTCCCTCCTCCCTACCTTCAGGCAGTGCCAGGGGAGGTCGCCGCTGGTGGGGTTGCCATCTCCTCGTGGGAATAGGACATCGAGGACGGGGCGAATATCGAGTTCGAGGAGGTTTCTGGATGATTTTGGGCGCTCTGGGCGGTTACTGGAGGGAGTTCTGTCCTGGGGTCCTCCCCGTTCTCCCCAGGAGGAGGTGGTGAAGCCAGGCCTGCGGCGTCCCTAGCCTTCCAGAGGACCAACTGGCATCGCTCGGACGTGTGCATGTTTCCCTCGGCGAGGACCATCGAGGAGCACCTTGGATCACAGTGCGAAAACATGAGCGCGCGAAGCCGAGCGTTGGCGAGAGAAACGGCATTGCGGCATAGGCATAAAGTTTGGAGAGGTCCATCAGATTTCCCAGGTCGGCGGTTTATTCCCGTCCCCACTTCTCTGGCGGCGCCTCCGGGGCCACTCCTGGCGCTCCTGCGCGCCGCGAAAAGGGTGAGGGGAGGAGGGGCGGTCCAATGTTGACCCAAGAGATCTGCTCGGACTTGTGCAGGTTCTCCAGATACGTAGTGCTTGCGTTGGTTTTGCCCCTGCGAGCGCCCGTGGTTTTGCCGGGTTTTCGGCTTGAGGGCGGCCGTGGCGGTCTCGTGGGCGCCTCGTGGGCGCCTCATGCGCTGGATGCGCTTGCCAGGTTTCCGCATGTGGGCTCCGCGTGGGCGAGTCATGCGCTGGCTGGGTCTGCCGGGTGTTTGGCTGGTGGGCGCCCGTAGGCGCCCCGAGGGCGCCTGGTGCGCTCCCGCCTCAGGATGCCCGCATATGTGCACACCTAGATCGCACGACGTGTATTACATCGCATAGTTTGCATCCCATGCGCTGTTTTATATGGATGGCACTAAAACGTTGCATCGCATACATGGCACCGCATAGATTGCACCACATACTGTCACATGGGTAAAGCGAGTTGAAAGAGCGCGTCCGTAGCGCCGGGAATACAGAAAGGGGGGCCCCAGCTTCAAGCTACATCCCCCCCCCTCCCTTCCAAAACGGGGGAGCTTCCGAAGCTACTCCCCCCCCCCTCCCTTCTGTAAGGGTTTCTAAGCTAGGGGGGCCCTGGCTAAAGGGGGGGGGGGGGGCTTCGAAGCTATCTCCCCCTCCCTCCCTTTTCCGGAGCAGAAGGTGAGCTCGGGCTTAAGGGGGGGGGGCTTCGGAAGCTACCCCACCCCCTCCTTCCTTTTTTGGTCTGGGCACAAGGGGGGGCGGCTTCAAGCTACCCCCCTCCCCCCTCCTTTGCAAAGGGGGGGGGCTTCCGAAGCTACCCCCTCCCCCCTCCTTCCGGGGCTCTGGCAAAATGGCGGAATCCCTGACGACAGGTGCGCACCGCAGCGCTAGAGAACGCATTGGAGAGTAAAGTCGACCCCTGGTTCGTTTTCTTGTTTCCTTGTTTTCTCGGCCCCTGCTTCGTAGTCTTGTTTTCTCGGGCCTTGATTCCTTTTATCGTTTTCTCGTTTTCTCGGCCTCTGGTTCGTTTTCTTGTTTTCTCGTGTTTTCGGCTCATGGGTCGCGGTCTCGTCTTCTCTGACCCTGGTTCGTGTTATCGTTTTTTAGTTTTCTCGGCGCCTGGGTCGTGGTCCAGTTTTCTCGGACGATGCTTCGTTTTCTCGTTTTTTTCTGCCCCTGGGTCGTGGTTTTGTTTTCTCGGACGCTGGTTCGTATTCTCGTTTTCTCGTTGTCTCGGCCCCCCCTGTGGTGGTCTCGTCTTCTCTGACCCTGCTTCGTTTTCTCGTTTCCTCGTTTTCTCGGCTCCTGGGTCGTGGTCTCGTTTTCTCGAGCCAAGCGTTTTCTGGTGATCTCGGCCCGTGGGTCGTGGTTTCCTCGGACCCTGGGTCGTGATCTCGTTTTCGTGTTTTCTCTGCCCCTGGGTCGTTATCTCGTTTTCGTGTTTTCTCATTTCCTCGGCCCCTGGGTCGTGATCTCGTTCTCTCGGGGCCTGGTTAGTTTTCTCGGTTTTTGTTTTCTCGGCCCCTGGGTCGTGGTCTCGTTTTCTCGGGGCCTGGTTCGTTTTCTCGGTTTTTGTTTTCTCGGCCCCTGGGTCGTGGTCTCGTTTTCTCTGACCCTGGTTCGTGTTTTTGTTTTCTTATTTTCTCGGCCCCTGGTTCGTAGTCTCGTTTTCTCGGACCCTGATTCCTTTTATAGTTTTTTTCGTTTTCTCTGCCCCTGGGTCGTGGTTCTGGTTTTTCGGACCCTGGTTCGTTTTCGTATTTTCTGTGCCCTTGGGTCGTGGTCTCGTTTGCTCGGACTTTGGTTCGTTGTCTCGTTTTGTGTTTTCGGACCCTGGGTCGTGATCTCGTTTTCTCGGTCTCGGACCCTGGTTCGTTGTTTCGTTTTCTCGTTTTCTCGGCTTTCTTTGTGTGTGTGTGTTGTTTTTGTTTCGGGCCCTGGTTCATGATCGCGTTTTCTTGTTTTCTCGGCCCCTGGGTCGTGGTGTCATTTTTCCTCGGGCCCTTGTTAGTTGTCTTGTTTTCTCGTGTTCTCGGCCCCTGGGTCGTGGTCGTTTGTTTTTGTTGTTTTCTCGGCACCTGGATGGTGGTCCCGTTTTCCCGGGCCCTGGTTCGGTTTCTCGTGTTCTCTGTGTTTTGGCTCCTGGATTGTGGTTTTGTTTTCTCTGACCCTGGTTCGTGTTCTCGTTTTCTCGTTTTCTCGGCCCGTGGGTCGTGGTCTCGTTTTCTCGGGCGCTGGTTGGTTTTCTCGTTTTCTCGTTGCTTCGGCCCCTGGGTCGTTGTCTTGGTTTCTCGTTCTCCGGTTCGTTCTCTCGTTTTCTCGGCCCCTGGGTTTTCGTTTCGTTTTCTCGGCCCCTGGTTCGGTGTCCTGTTTTCTCGTTTTCTCGGCCCCTGGGTCGTGGTCTCGTTTTCTCTGGCCCTGATTCATTGTCTTGTTTTCTTGTTTTATCGTCCCCTGGATCGTGGTCTTGTTTTCTCGGACCCTGGTTCGTTTTCTCGTTTTCTCGGCCCCTGGGTCGTGGTCCAGTTTCCTCGGACCCTGGTTTGTTTTATCGTTTTCTCGTTTTCTCGGCGCCAGGGTCGTGGTCTCGTTTTCTCGGACCCCGTTTCGTTTTCTCGTTTTCTCGGCCACTGGGCTGTGGTTCGTTTTCTCGGGCCCTGGTTTGCTTTCTCGTTTTCTGTCGTGGTCTCGTTTTCTCGGGCTTTGGTTCGTTTTCTCGTTTTCTCTGCCCCTGGGTCGTGGTCTCGTTTTCTCTGACCCTGGTTCGTTTTCTCGGTTTCTCTGCCCCTGGCTCGTGGTTTCGTTTTCTCGGGGCCTGGCTCGTTTTCTCGTTTTTTGTTTTCTCGGAGCTTGGGTCGTGGTTTTGTTTTATCGGACCTTGGTTAGTTTTCTCGTTTCGTTTTCTCGGCCCGTGGGTCGTGGTCTCGTTTTCTCGGTCGCTTGTTTGTTTTCACGTTTTCTCGGCCCTTGGTCCGTAGCCTCGTTTTCTCGGACCCTGATTCCTTTTATCGTTTTCTCGTGTTCTCGGCCCCTGGGTCGTGGTCTCGTTTTCTAGGACCGATATTCGCGTTTGCTCGGCCTGGGTCGTGGTCTCGTTTGCTATGACTTTGGTTAGTTGTATCGTTTTCTCATGTTCTCGGCCCCTGGGTCGTTATCTCGTTTTCTCGGGCCCTGGTTCATTATCTCGTTTTCTCAGCTTCTGGGTGTTTGTTTCGTTATCCTGGGCCCTGGTTCGTTTGCTCGTTTTCTCGGCCCCTGGGTCGTGTTCTCGCTTTCTCGGACCCCGTGCCGTTTTCTCGTTTTCTCGTCTCCTGGGTCGTGGTCTCGTTTTCTCGGGCACTGGTTTGTTTTCTTGTTGTCTCGTTTTCTCGGCCCCTGGGTCGTGGTCTCGATTTTTCGGGCCCTGGTTCGTTTTCGCATTTTCTCGGCCCCTGGGTCGTGGTCTCGTTTGCTCGGACCCTGGTACGTTTTCTCGGACCCTGGTTCGTTTTCTCGTTTTCTCGTTTTCTCGGCGCCTTGGCCGTGGTTTCGTTTTCTCGGACCTTGCTTTGTTCTCTCGTTTTCTCAGCCCCTGGGTCGTGGTCTCGTTTTCTCTGACCCTGGGTCGTCGTCGTCGGTCGCGCGTCGTCCGTCGTCCGTCGCCGTCTTCGCATGACCTCGTCTTCGTCGTGACGACCACGACGAGGTCATGTGAAGACGGCGACAATGACGGCGACGGCGGCGACAACGACGACGAGGACGACGACGGCGTCGTACGAAGACGTCGAGCGACGGCGACGGCAACGACGACGGCGACGGGGGAGGATCGTCCGGCAGGGGGGAGTTCAAGGGAGGGGGGTGGTAGCTAAGCCGCCCCTTCCGTTTTGGAAAGGGGGGAGGGGGGGGGGAGAAAAATGGAGGGAAGGGAGGGGGGGCTTCCCGCAGAGGGGGGTCGAAGGAGGGGGGGTAGCTAAGCCCCCTTCCCTTTCGTAAGGGGGATGGGGAGTGTAGCTTCCCGGGTGCCGAAAGGGGAGGAGGGGGGGGGGCTGCTAAGCCCCCCCCTGGAACCAAAGGGGGGAGGGGGGGTGGGTAGCTTCCGGCAGAGGGGGGCTAAGGGGAGGCGGGGGTAGCTAAGCCCCCCTTCCCTTCGTAAGGGGGGGGAGGGGGGGGGATAGCTTCCCGGGTGCCGAGATGGGGGAAGGGGGGAGGGGCTGCTAAGCCCCCCCCCCTTGGAACCAAAGGGGGGAAGGGGGGGGTAGCTGCCGGCAGAGGGGAGTCGAGGGCAGGGGGGGTAGCTAAGCTCCTTCTCCCTTTGGAAAGGGGGGGTAGCTTCGGAGTAGCGAAAGGGGGGAGGAGGGGGGGGGAGCTTCAGGGGTGAAGCGGAAAAGGAGGGGAGGGGGGTGGTTTCGGCAGGGGAGGTGGAAGGGAGAGGGGGGGGGTAGCTAAGGGGGGACCCCCCCTTTGCTCCGGCGCTGTGGGCTCGCTCTCTCAAATAATTCATTGTAGCACCCTCCCGAGCCTGGACTTATCGGTTTCTCTTGGGTCGTTGCAACTTAATTGCGTATGATTCGGCCCCCCTCGTAGATCATACGATACCACCCAGGCTGGTATCGTTTCCCCGCCTCACCCTTGTTGAATCATACCAAGCACTAATAACCGTCGATCTCAAGGGATCAGTTTGCAATAATCCTCGCCAGCGAATGCCACAAAGGCAACACGCGCGCGCATATTTCGGAACAGTACCAAACGCACTGGTTTTGCAAGCATGCCAGAACAAACGAAGGACAATCCCGTAGGTTCTTCGTCCGCAATGATGCAGGTGTTCTGCCCGTGCGCACATGCTGGAATCATAAGAACACCATCGGATTTTGGCAATGTCGTTCAGGCTCCGCGGTCCAATCCCACCATGCGGTGCATCTGCGTTGATCTAGCATGCGCCCAGTGCACGGATCCGTACCAAATAGCACCATGCGGGCACCACGGGGCCCCGCGCGTGCAACACCGCGCGCGCATGCCGATGTTTCACATCCATTGGCTTCTGATGCATGTCAAGAAACAGTGAGTGCTTCAGGCATATATGAAACGCCAAGTGCTTTTCAAAAGGAAGTCTGCCAGGCTTGAAATTCTGCGCGCGCACTTCCTCACCATCACCCTCACCAGCGTCATCGCATCACTGCCGTCATCGTCATCGTCAAACGCCGCCATTGCTGATATCATCAGCATACTCACCTTCATTTCCGACATGAACATCTACATCGTCATCGCCGTCACCAGCATCGGCGCCGTCATTGAAATTGCCGTCGTCATCGTCATCATCGTCACCACCGGTGCTACTATCATCGTTGCTGCCGTTGCCGGACGTCATCATGATACAGCGTCCGCCCGAATCACGGACCCGCACTGAGATGCCCGCGCGCCAGCGTAAACTTGGATGACACGCGCGGGGAAGTTTCCATCGGTAAGCACCACCGTGGCCGCTTCAACTGTGCCCAACCAGCTGGCCGCTTCAATTGTGCCCAACCAGTCGGAGTTTGAAGGAGTCCGTTTGATCCTAAGGTCCTTCGTCAGAAAGCAACCGTAAGTTCATGAGACACCGCAAGATAGTGAAGATACCGCAAGATAATGAAAATGGTGATGGTCAGGGGACGGGGCCGGGGCAGGGGCCGGGGCCGGAGCGGGGCCGAGGCGGGGGGAGCTCCCCTGTCCCTCCCCCTCCACAGCGGGGACCGCCCGGGGTGAGGGTCACGACTCCCTGGACCCCCCCAGGACCCCCCCATGACTTCACTCCCCCCGAGCGGGAAGGGTTCAAAGGGAAGGGGTTTCCTTGCCATATGTTCAAGACATTGTTCGTTGTCGTAGGGGTTGGAGTGTTGGTCGGGAGCTCCACGTCCCTTCTCGCTCCAGGTGTTGGTCAGGAGCCCCCCGGGAAGGAGGAGGATAGCGACGACGACGACGACGACAGCAACGACGACAACGACGAACGGAAAAGCGTCTCACACACGCTGACAGGGTCGGCGGATTTTGCATACCATGTAGTTTGTAGCTTTGGGCACCGCCTGCCCTTTAGGGGACCGCTCCCGCGGAGCTGGCACGCAGACTCAACTGGAATTTGGATGCCGCTCGAGGTTTCCTGGGGGCCTCTTGGTGGACTCTTCGGGTCTCTTGGGGCCTCTTGGGGCATCTTGGGGCGTCTTGGGGGCCTCTTGGGGGCCTCTTGGGGTTTCAGGGCTCAAATTTTCCGTTCGGGTTTCCCGTCTGCGTCCTCTCGTGGAGACGTCTTGGGGCCCTCTAGCGGCGTCTTGGATGCGTCTTGGGGCCGTCTCGGGGCTCTCTTGGGGGCCACTTGGGCAGTCTTGGGGCCATCCTGGGCGGCCCTTGGGCCGTCTTGAGCGTCGGAAAACCGAGAAGGCGAGAACGCCAGAATCCTCCAAATACCGGAGGACAATTCGTGAATTTCGCCTCTTGGGGCCTTCTTGGGGGTGCTCTTTGGGGCTTCTCGGAGCATCTCGGAGGCCTCTTGGGCCGTCTGGGGGTCATCTTGAAGGACGTATTGGAGCGATCGTTCGGCGACTCGGCGCCTTCTTGGACCGTCTTGGGGGCCTCTTGGGGCCCTCTTGCCCCGTCCTGGGGCCCTCTCAGGCCCGAAAAAGTTATGCGACAAGCCGCGGGGGAGCCCAGAGGAACCGCCCACTGCCCAAAGAGATTTGGAAATTCAGGGTCCAGGCCTTTCAAAGACATCAAGATTGAGGAATGAGGCTTAAGGGATTAGGCACATGACCCGAGGACACGCCCACTCCGTGCCCAGCGGCACTGTGGCGGATGTATGCGTGCATTTATGCATGCGAGGCCAATTCGGTGGAACGGCTGTACCCGCCTGGCGATGATCGCGTTTTCAAAATTTGCTGCGACTGGCCGTGCTGTTGGTTTTGCCCCGCTTACTCCAGCACCCGGAGGGCTAAAACTCAACAGCGCGCAGTGTTCACTACCATTAGGAGGGGGGATGGGATGGATAGCAGGCAGGTCGTCGTGCCGCAGAAGATGTTGGACATTTGGGCAATGCTTACGCACGTTCCTACCCCAGGACGGAGACGCATTATTGCAGCATTTCCTGAGGGTGAACGGCCACGACGCGGCAGAGGTGCACAAGCTCCAGGACCGGGAAGAGGACGGGGAAACCGAGGCAGGAACAGGAAAATCAGCAGGAGCATCAGTTGCATGACCAGAAGCGCCAGCAAGGATGGGAAAGAGGTTGAGGAGGGTGAGGGGGGTGAGAGGCAGGATGAAAGGTAAGGAGAGGAGGAAAGGCATGCGGATAGTGAGGGTGAGGGGAGGGGAGGTTCTGATCATCGGGTCACGCCCCATTCAACGAGTCACACGCGTTTGTTGTTGGGGTTCGATCTGACTTGCATTTATAGGGAGTGTAATTGGCGAGCGTTACGACCGAACCGAAGAGGATAAGGGTCAACCAAGGCTCAGCGATTTGAGCATAGTTTTGAGGGCAGCGCACGTCTACGTATTGGCAAACTCAGGGGTAATCAGGCGAACAGGTTGCCAAACCTCTTGACACTTCAAGCCATCATGCGACTCCCGTCAGCTCAGCACCGCGAGGGTGATTTGCTGCGCGCCTCGATTGGGACACGCACCCAGTGCGTCGAAAGAGGAACAGGGATCCGAGATCTCTGTTTCTTGCAACGACGAGTTCCTCAGAGGTGATCTCACGTTGCCTTCACCAGCTATGTGTGCGATATTGTCTTGTCTACTCAGTCTGGGACGGCACTGTACCGCAATGTGTTTACACACCCATAAGTATTGGAGTTGAGGTTACAGTTCACATTGCCTCCGCTTTTGCATGCATGGTGGTAGCGGAGTGTGTTTACGGTGCATGTCATTCTTTATCGGCGATTGAATCGTTGTGGTGGACGAGCCATGTGCAAGCCATGCCACTATTTATGGCGAACGAACTATTACGGTGCAAGCCAATGTGGTGGGCAAGTGCTGTCCATCTAGGGACGGCGTGTTGGACTCAGGGCTGGAGTGCGTCCCATGCGTACAAGAGGGATGAAGGATTGACGGAGGTCTCGGTGGGAGGGGAGCGAAGGAGGGAGGGGAGGCAGATGGGACAGATGGGAGGGGGGGTAGGGAGGGGAGGTGCAGGAGGGGGGATGGGAGGGATGGGGGGAGGCTGGGTGCGGTGGAGGGAGGAGGGGGCGGGTGCGGAGGAGGGTGAGGAGGGTATGGAGGGAGGAGGAATGAGAGGGAGGGGGGGGGGGGGCGGTGGAGGGACGGGGGCGAGGGAGAAGAGGGAGGGAACAGAGAGAATGGGGGAGGAGAGGGAAAAAAATGATGGGGGGGGAAAGGGGGTGAAAGGGCGGGGTCGGGGGTGCACGGAGGGGTGCAGGAGGCAGGGACGCAGGGAAGCAGGGACGGGGGAGAAGTGATTGAGAGGTGGATGGTGTGGAGATTGAAAGGGGAGGGCGATGTTGGAGCGTTGGTCGGAGGGACGGACAGCGGAGAGGGAATGGAGGGAGGGGCGGATGGAGGGAGGCGGGGGGAAGACAGGATTTGAGTCTCCCACCCTCGTTCATCCTGGAAGGATGCCGTCTCCGTGGCGCACGCCATGATGGTCATTCACAAGGAGCGAGTTTGCTCCTTCCCCTCAAGGGAAGATAGCTCATAAGGAAGATGATGTTCATCACGAAGACCGTCCTGAATGTTGCCGAGTGCCCAAACGGTTGGCGGGCGTGTTCGATAGTTGATGTTGCGCCCCCTCGTTCCAATATTCACCCGATAGGACCACCCTACGGGTGATAAGGAGGTGGGGGGGAAGGGGGAGGCGGGTGATGTTCGATGGTTTTGGGTTCGTTGGTGGTTTCTGTACTTGTCCTATTGTCGCGCGCAGCTGCCCATCTATTTACCGACCTATCTATCTAATCATCCATGTAGGACATGTCTTTCTATATATATATATATATATATACATATACACACCTATATATGTAAATATATGAGCACACGCATCTATCCATATATATATATATATAGAGAGAGAGAGAGAGAGAGAGTTCAATCGATATAAATATATACATATATACAAACATATATACATGTGTGTATGCATGTGTGTATATATACATGGATTGGCCAGGAGGGGGGTCCGGGCCTGTGCCGTACCCCCATGGGGGGATTGGGGGGTCCCAGGGCTCCTGGGACTGCCAAGGCCCGCTCCCAAACACGCCACGACACGCCAAGATGGCCCTAAAGATTGCCAAGACAGCCCCAAGAGGCCCCGGACACGCCGAAGATAGCCTCTCAGGACTGCCGACGACGTCGCCAAAACGTCCCAAGAGCGCCTCCAGAGACCCCTCCAAAGGGCCCCAGAAGCTCCCTCCCCACGGTCCCGGACGGCGTCGGAGGCCCTTCAGATCGCTCCAAGACGGCCGAAGAGGCTCCCAAGAAAGCTCAGAGACGGCCCAGGAGGCTCCCCCGACAATTCAAGAGGGCGTCGACATCGCCCCAAGAGAGCTCCAAGAGCGACCCAAGAGGGCCCGAGGAGCGCGACATTTCAAGGTCTCCAGCCTGAGGCTCCTAGGACGCCCCCGGAGGCCATCAAGAGGCTCCCAAGAAGCCCCGTCAGGCTTCCAAGAGGCCCCCCGGAAGCCTCAATAGGCCCCCAAGGGGTCCCCAGTGAAGCCCCCTGCGGGCCCCCAAGAGACTTCGGTAAATCGTTTTTCTCTGACAGCTTTCCGGGAAAATGGTTCCTTGGGCTTCCGCCCACCGCCCCAACCATGTTTCCAATAGGCTTGCCGACAAGGCCAAAAGGGGCCCTTCGGTAAGCCCCCAGAGGCCCCCCTCTTGAGAGAGCCGAACAAATCATGCTCCCGGAAAGCTTCCTGGGAGCATGATTCTCGGGTTGCCGCCCTCTCCCCAAACTATGTTCCCTAAACGCCTGCCAGGAAAACAAAAGCCGAGAGTCCCAAGCAGCGCTACCTGCCGCCACGCTCGCACAGGCCCCGAAGTTTTCAGAGGCGCCCAATAAATCATGTCCCCAGGAAGTCTTACGGCCAGTGCCGCCGATGTTGAAGGAGATCGGTCCAGGACATCCAAAAATCTTCCAAGCAGGCTTCGCGCCGAGACAGCCCAGGGCCGCCCCCAGACGGCCCAAGAAAGCCCCAACACAGACGAAAAAGGGCTGTAAGAGGCCTCCAAGAGGCCCCGAAACGCGAACATATCGTTCGAACACGCCCAAGATGGCCTCCGGACGGCCCACAAGGCTTCCAACCACGGCCCAAAGGGAGGCCAAAATCATTGATAGTCCTCAGGTTTTTCACGGATTTCAGCAATTCTGCCTGTTCAGGGTCCCGACTGCGCCGGACACCACATGCCGCCCCAACAGGCCCCCACAAGGACGCCGAGACGGCCCAAGGACGCCCTGCCGCGGGCACGAGACGGGGCCCGGGACGGGGCCCTCGCACCGGGGGGCCCGGGGGCCCTGCAGTGGCGCTGGGGGCTTTGTAAAGTTGCCCGAAGACGGCCCTGGATTGCCAGAAACGGCGTTTCCAGATTACGAAAACGACCAATGACCGCCCGATATCACCCCAGAATTAGTCCCTCACTGTCCAAGAGGCCTCCAAAACGCCCCAAGAGGCCTCCAAGATGGCTCCCACGGGGCCCCAGGAGGCACAACTAATTTGTTTTCCCTTTGGTTTTTGAGCGATTTTAGAGTTCTCGCCTTTTAAGTTTCCTGACGCTCCACGACGGCCCAAGAGGCTTCAATTTCCGCTCCAAGACATCCCCAGAGGCCTCGAAGACGGTCACAAGACAGCCCACTAGGGCCCCAAGACGGCGCCAGAGGCGCCCAAGGCGGCCCGAGAGGGCACCAAGACGGCCCCAAGAGCCGAGAGGGTTCACACGAACGAAAATCCAAGCCTTCCACCCCGAGAGGCTCTCAGGAGGCCCCGAGAAGCCCCTAACAGGCTCCAAGAGGCCTCAAGAAGCCTCCCAAGGGGCCGAAGAGTATCCAAGAGGCCTCCCACGAAGGCCCTAAGAGGCAAAACTCAATGTCTTGCCATCGGTGTTTGATAGATTTCTGAGTTTTCAGACTTTGGGCGTCCTGACGCTCCGAGACGGCTCAAAAGGCCTCCAAGACAAATCAAGAGGCTTCCAAAAGGGCCCAAGACAGCCCGAGAGGGCACCAAGACGGCCCCAAGGGGGGTTCGAACATCCGAGCCTTCCACCCCGAGAGGCTCTCAGGAAGCCCCAGAGGCCCCCAAATAGCACCCAAGAGGCCCTCAAGAAGCTCCGCAGAAGGCCGAAGAGGTTCCAAGAAGCCTTCCAAGAAGGCCCGAAGAGGCACAACTCATTGTTTTCCCATTGGCTTTGATGAATTTTAGAGTTCCCAGCCTTTTGGCATCCCGACGCTCCAAGACGGCCCAAGTGGCCCTCAAGACCGCTCCAAGATAGCCGAAGAGGCCTCCAAGAGGGCCCCAAGACGGCCCACGAGGACCCCAAGACGGTGCCTGAGGCGCCCAAGACAGCCCGAGAGGGCCCCAAGAGGGCCCCAAGAGAGCCCCAAGAAGGGGAACGCGAACCCAGCAGCAGAGCCTTCCGCCCTAAGAGGCCCACAGGAGGCCCCAAGAGTCCCCAACTGGTCCGACGAGGCCTCCCAAAGCCCCCCACCAGGCCCCAAAAGGCTCCGAGGAGACGTACACGGGGCCCCAAGGTAGCCGAACTGTGCTCTCGATTCATTAAAATTGCTTCAAGGAGGCCCCGGGAGGCTTCTGTATTGCCACAATGTGGCCTCAAGCGGAGCCTCTACGCAGCCAAGACAGCCACTTGACTGCTTCAGATTGCAGAGCATCACTGTCCGACTGCCCGGAGAACCTTGACGATGCCCCGAGGGGCCCCAAGAAGCCCCAAGACAGCCCCCCGAGAAACACCCAAGAGGTGCCTCCAACAGCCAATTGAGAAAGCACGGAGATACCCCCAGAAACCCTTCAGATGCCCCCACGAAGAGCCAAGAGGTTCCCAAGAGGCCCTCAGGAGGCACAACTGTGTCACGCGCCTGTGCTTGATATCGCTGTCCAAGAACTTCCAGCGCGGCCCCGGCCTGGGCTAGAACCTGAGCGCGCGTGAAGCGCGCGCGATGGCTCTAGACATAGGTCTATGGAGGTTGTAGAACGGGTTGAGCAGAGGGGTCCTTTGAGTGATGTCATCGTGTTGCGAGGCACTCTCAGTCACTGCTGGATCCAATGCCGCTGCCATTAACCCCTCAGGGTCTTTTGACCCCCCCCCCCAATAGTGCGCAAATATATGGTTGTCCCGCGGGCTTATTGACGGACTGGGACCCCAGCAATAATGGAAAAAAATATTTTCCGTGTGGAACTCGGGCCCCACGGGGAGGGAGGGAACCCACGAGGACCGTGAGAAACTTCATCCTCGATTTATCCATCCTAAGGAAAACTTACGACTGCCTAAGGAGAACGTAAGGACAACCTAGGAAAACCGAAAGACAACCTAAGGAAAACCAAAGGAAAACCTAAGGAAAACCTTGTACGACGTGCCTTGCACGAACAGGCTCCGAAAACCTCCCCCGTGTAGGGTAGCCCACGCGGGGTTGTTTTCCAAGAGAAAGAACCACCCACCAATACCCAGCACGGCGAACAATATCGGGATTCGAATCTTGGCCGAGCGGGCAGGGAGGGACTGATTGGACTGATGGGTCGGATTGGACTGATGGGGACTGATTCGGCTGATTGGCGCTAATTGGACTGATTGGGAAGATGGGGACTGCTTGGGGTGATGGGGACTGATGGGGACTGACTGGGTTGATGTGGACTGACTGAACATGAGCAGCGACCTGAGACGGAGCGATCTTGTACTACGCGCCTTGCACGAACAGGCTCCGAAAACCTCCCCCGTGTAGGGTAACCCACGCGGGGGTGTTTTCCACGAGAAAGAACCACCCACCAATACCCAGCACGGCGAACAATATCGGGAATCGAATCCTGGCCGAGCGGGCAGGAAGGGAATCATTGGACTGATGGGTCAGATTGGACTGATGGGGACTGATCGGGTTGATTGGCATCGATTGGACTGATTGGAATGATGGGGACTGCTTGGGATGATGGGGACTGATGGGGACTGACTGGGTTGATGTGGACTGACTGACACTGAACAGCGATTCGAGACGGAGCGATATTGTACTACGTGCCTTGCACGAACAGGCTCCGAAAACCTCCTCCGTGTAGGGTAGCCCACGCGGGGTTGTTTTCCAAGAGAAAGAACCACCCAACAATACCTAGCACGGCGAACAATATCGGGAATCGAATCCTGGCCGAGCGGGCAGGGAGGGACTGATTGGACTGACGGGTCAGATTGGACTGATGGGGACTGATTCGGTTGATTGGCATTGATTGGACTGATTGGAATGATGGGGACTGCTTGGGATGATGGGGACTGATGGGGACTGACTGGATTGATTTGGACTGACTGCCACTGAACAGCGATTCGAGACGGAGCGATCTTGTACTACGTGCCTTGCACGAACAGGCTCCGAAAACCTCCTCCGTGTAGGGTAGCCCACGCGGGGTTGTTCTCCAAGAGAAAGAACCACTCACCAATACCCAACACGGCGAA